CCCCATGTTCTACATTGCGTCTCGAGAATTCAATTGTACCTCAACACAAGTTGTTATCAATTTATTTCATGAGTAATGTATTTACTTCCGAGTTTAGAGTAACAGTGGGTAATAACACTGATTAGCAATTTGGTGTAACCGAACGATATATATTGACATATATTCTCTGTTGTGTATCTCTTTGTGTTTGCATCTCTTTGAGATTATATACCTTGTATATTGATTACCCTCACAGTAAGGTCTGCCGCTTGTATCCAGGCAGACTAGTATATGTCTGGTGCACAATTTATGTTAATAAATGTATCTCGTGTATTGAACCCGTGTGTGTGCGTTGTTAGTTGTTCTGACGATTGATTTTCTAAAAGCCACAACGAACCACCTCGTGATTCCTGCTACAATTAATAATTGTCTCAGTAAAACCATCAAACCATTACACATTGCAGTGTCCAAAAATGTGACATTTCAATACAAATGTTGTCAGCTGGTTAGTGGGAAAAAGGATACACCTTAGTTACACATGGCAGGGCAATATTGTACCATAAAATACATAGAATTCCAAGTTCTAACATAGGGCTTCAGTATTCCTGTATTTGGATATTATGTTTGCATATGAGTTTGCTAAGCAGTTACAAAATTAAAACCAGAGAACTACACAGGAATGCTAAGTACTTTACTGTCTACTGAAGAAATTGGAAGAACACTAAAAATGCACACACAGCTTAAGCTAAACTGGAAAAGAATTACAAAGGAAAGACAACCATAATGTCAGCCCTCATTCTACCAATCTTATTATAATCCGTCTATTTTCTAAACTCTTTATCCAATACATTACATCCAATAACCCACCAATATGTCTTTGGATTGTGGAAGGAAACCGGAGCACCTGGAGAAAACAAATGAGGACACAAGATGAACATACTGTACAAACCTGATGCAGATAGCACCCTGTGTCTGGAATTGAACCCAGGGCCCCAGTGCTGTGAGACATCAATTCATATTAATATACAGAATAATATAGTATGCCAGTTTCGAGCCCATCAACATCACTCCCCTGCTTCTGAACTTAAGATAATGGGCAAACTGTTCTTTGCTGATATTTTTAGTGGAAATATCTTTCACAAATGAAGCTCTGCTGACCTTCAGCCATGTGAACATGAGACTAAAATGTGCTTAAATATGATTTACCTCAATATAATGGAGAAAAAAACATTTCCTCTGATTCCTTCAAAAGATTTTTGTGCTGAAAATGTGCTGTCATGTTGCCAGTATTCATCTTTTTTTCCCTATGGCAGTAAAAAAGTCATACATTTAGTTATGAACCTAGAATATTTAAATACTTAATAATATCTATAATACTTAAAAATAACTTATAAACAGAACATTTAATAATCTATAAATAAATAGGTTTAAATGACACTAGTAAAAAAAAGTAAGAATACAATACTTGCTTTATCAAGCAAATAATGACCTCAGACAACTCCACAATCAACTGTTAGCACAGCTTTGAAATACAGACTGTATGTCTTGAATGAGTAAATTAGATTTTAATTTCACTTTCTAGGCTTTTTAATAAATATAATTAGTGACAAGGCATTATCTACATTGCATAGAACCACGCACACTAGTTTAAATGTTGAAAACAGCAGAAGAAAGTGCTCCAGGTAACATTTTGCTTAGATATGCTTCCTTAAAAGTACCTCGGAGGGCACATTTTATCTTATGGGAATGTGCTATACCACTAGAATCAAGTCTTTAGTAAAATATACTGTATCTGCATGGTATAAAAGGATTATGCTGTCTTTCTGAGTACAATGTGATGAAAATATTCAATGTTAATAGAAATGTTCTAGAATTACTTATCATACCAAAGAATGAGAGACCATGCAAAATCACTATAATAGAAAATCGAAATAGAACCTTCTCTGATGCAGCTGTAACCATAAATGACCTTTATTTATATTTTTCTCCATGAGAATTTGAAGTAAATTGCTTTTCTAAATCCTAAAGTGTGTAATTTTCTCTTTTTTGAGGATTGCAGTGTAGGAATATTGTGTCATATTTCCTGACCAAAACTGAAGATAGACATCCACATATGTTTTCTAAGGAACAGATTCACTAAATTATTTTAACGCAGGTTACTTTTTAAAAAAGGTACAGGATCACCAAATATTTTCTTTTACAGTATATATCTTCCAAATTTGTGGTGGTCAATCAAGTAAAGCCTCATCTGAAAGTAGCTTTGCCTTACATGTCTAAAAGCACCCATACTTGTCTACCCCTAATATAATGAAACACTGGCTTAATTGTTAGAGAAGAGCAGATAAATATTGGTTAATATAAGAACTGATCAAATAAATGTGCGTAATAATCATTAAGATAACAAATGTACAGTACTTAAATCTACAGGCAAAATTAATTATTCTTTATTATTAACAAGTTTGAACCAAGAAGTTTCTGACAGTATACTATACCCACCAGTACATCATACAGCATGCTGAGAAAAAAAATGGGTCGTAATGTTCATTTGTTGCATTTTTAATGTCTGTTAAAAATGTTGAATATCTGTTAGTGTAAGCCTGGGGATACCATCAATTTTTCAAAATAAATAGAATACTGTCAGCTGTCTTTTAGGCTTTCTATGAAACTCCAGCATCATGAAATAATAATAATAATAATAATAATAATAATAATTGCTTACACTTATATAGCGTTTTTCTGGACACTCCACTCAAAGCTCTTTACAGGTAATGGGAACTCCCCTCCACCACCACCAATATGCAGCCCCACCTGGATGATGCGACGGCAGCCATAGTGCGCCAGAACGCTCACCACACATCAGCTAACAGTGGAGAGAGCAGAGTAATGTAGCCAATTCATAGAGGGGGATTATTAGGAGGCCATGATTGGTAAGGGCCAATGGGAAATTTGGCCAGGACGCCGGGGTTACACCCCTACTCTTTTCGAGAAACGCCCTGGGATTTTTAATGACCACAGAGAGTAAGAACCTCGGTTTTACTTTTCATCCGAAGGACGGCGCCTGTTTACAGTATAGTGTACCCGTCACTATACTGGGGCATTAGGACCCCCATGGACCGCAGGGTGAGCGCCCCCTGCTGGCCCCAATAGCATCTCTTCCAGCAGCAACCTTAGTTTTCCCCAGGAGGTCTCCCATCCAGGTACTGACCAGGCTCACACCTGCTTAGCTTCAGTGGGTTGCCAGATGTGAGTTACAGGGTGATATAGTACAATTTAGTAGGTGAAATAGTACAGTAAAGTGATATGGCAGTAACAAGTGTTAAACAGTTGCAGTTTGCAATACAGGCCACGTATTAACAGCACAAGAGAAGGCATAGTCAGCAATTGCTTAGGGACCTCATTTTTCCATACTGTAGTTGTACTGTAAACAGAATGATTTCTATTAATCTGTCATACATTACTTGATGAATTTACGGGGTGGGACCAATCTGTCTCACAGTTTGCAAATAGTCAAAAGCATGAGGACACAGCGTGTGCACAAAAAGTGCAAGCCAAGGGCACATCTGAAAGAGTGATGAAACCAGTTAAATTTCATTTCTATTGGCACAGCGGTTCCCAAGACAGAGACAGTTTTAATTTGCAGGAAAAAAAAATGGTGATCAGGCATTCACCTACTGTAAGCAGGAACGCTATTTCAAATAAAAAATGCTTTTGAATTCCGAAAACAAAATAGAAATCAGGGAGCTATTGTGATTTATGCAAAAACCCAATTTTGCTATATGCTAATGGTACACACAGCAGAACACCTACTAAATTGTTAGTTCATTGTCCAAACAGCCATTAAATTAGGAGTGTGCATATGAAGCAGCATTTGGCCAAACTGCTGATGACCCATAATGAACAGAAACATTGCAACTTGTGCAAATCAGAAGCAGCGATGGTTATTTGTGAAAGCTGCCAAGTTTCAATTTAATCAGTGAAGTAGTTCCCAAGATAGATTCGGTTTGTGTCTGGAGAAGAAAATGGCAATCATATTGCCATCTTGGGGAACTCTATATATGAACAACAGAGCATCTGATTTATACTCATGAGAAATAACAGTGTGTTTTGAAATAAATGACCAAATACTTTTTTAAACAGCAAGAGTTATTGTTATGGGATGCATAACGACGACAAATAAATGGAACCCAGCTATCACATGTATTTACCCTATTGGTACCAGAAGTCTTAATTTGACGTTTGGAGTGAACTGGTCTAACAATTATTGAGTAGGAGCAGTTTTCCTTGATAGGGTAGATTTCTCCAAATGGTTTAAGATATGTTGTAGGCATAACATTTATATTAGCAACTTTTAAGGTGCAAGCTTTGTACAATTTTGCAAGCTTTTTAGTTGAAAAACCTTGATTAAATCTGCTGTTTCAATTCAAATAAGATGGCAGTTCTTACATTTTTTTAAAAGGATTTTTAAATATATGGTTCAGGCAACTACTTTGATTTACCCAGGACTCTACCTCCTTTTTTTTTACATACTATGAAGTATAAAGATCCTCCACTACCCCTTCTTTGAAATTGACAAGTTTTGGAAAGTGGGAAGAAAAAATACCATCACTATAGGGTTCCACTATAGTAAGCATGCAGTCACTACAGTCTTCTGTGGAAGCCTTAAAGATGCAATAGTATCTCAGTAAAAACAAGAAACATTTATAATGTCTTTGTTGAGCATGTGGGCATCATCAGTACTTCATCAGTTTAATTTGTGAAAAGGGTTTAATGCTTTTTGAGTAACTGGAAGGGTTTAAAAAATCATATATTTTGTTATTAAGTGCTTGGAAAGACAGGGTAAGGAAAGTAAGACAATGATACTATACTAGTGTGAACCATTTCCAGCATCTTTCCTTCCAGTGCACTAAATGCCTGCCCAATCGTTATACGTTACATTCATTGATATTCAATATATGAATGCAAACAGAAGACAAGAATAATGTTGTACACAAATATCATTACAAATACACATCAAAAACATGAACTGTTTAAAATATTTTATTCATATTGTGTAAACTTAAAATGCAAATCATACATTCATCAACAACATCTTGTTGAGCAATCAATAAATCTCTCTCATCCTAAAAAATACTCTACATGTACACCCAATCCTCTTTATTCACAGGAGATACGATCCCAAACTGCCCACAAATAACAAAAAACAAAGAACTAGGAAAAAAGTATCTTCTATTCCACATATACAGTATACCTCAAGTATACTTAATACACCATGCAAATCAACATACTGTATACAGTATGTCAAAACATGACTGAAACATACTGCATACAAAAATAATTACATAAAATACAATACTGCATATTCCCAATGTTTTCCATTATAAAAAATAATTACAAATTCACATTATGCACACAACTTTACAGATTTTGAGTGCAGTAATCTTCAGGAATAAGGGATGAGACTACAGTGCTGGACATGAATACCCAAGATGATATCTTGATGGCATCAGATGAACCAAACTGCGATGATGGTGAAGTTGCTGATGAAATAATTATGCACAACTGTATCACTGCAGCTCATCTTCCTTTATTTTACTTTTTGGCATGACCACAAAAATGGCATCACAAAGCCGCAAAGGACTGTGAGCACCCGTACAATACAGAGTGAATAAAGGACTTGGAAGAGATGCGATGGGCAATGTGAAGAAGAACACATATGTCCAAATTTGAAATTGAGTCTCGAAGACGGTCTAAGAAGCTTGTGCCTCTGAGAGAAACGCAGAGACTGGAGATAAAGAGGAAGGGATGTACACAGAAATATTAATTCAGCTGCAATTCATTGGTTTGCAATTCTATTATTTCCAACTGAAAATACTAGATGACTGTAAAAATGTGGTAATATACCCCTTCATACATATTCAATAAATTAATACAATCTGATTATATGTAGCCAAACGGTCAATCAATCTTTATTATCAATCATGCACTCATACCTCACTTTTGAAGAAACAGTATTAAAGTGTAGCTGAGGTGGGTAGGTTTTCTTAACAGCCATGCTAAGCTTAACAGATGGAACTCAGTGAGATTAAAAAAACTGTTACAGTCTTTCTTATTTGTCTCAGTCCAACAAATGGAATGGAAGGAAGTCTGTTTATTTGCTCATAAGACACAGACTATTCAATAATATGTGACTATGACATACTGTAGTTGTCTCCATTTTCATTTTGAACATGGAGTTACTGTAACCATATCTTCATTTTCACTTAACTAAAAAGCCAGCCAACTGTGAAAAAATACAGAACACTTAGCATTGTGGAAACCTTTGTAAATGTCCCAGTGTATTTACTATATAATTCAATGTCAAAGGCAGTTTTTTAAAAATAGCATATTCACCTTTCACTTAATCTTAGAAACAATGGTGTCATTTGGTCCAACCACACACATAGCTTGCAGGTCAACCTTTAATATCTTAACAAATACTATTTGCACATATCATCCAGTTATGTACTGTATAGCGAAATCATAATGCAATAAAAAAAATCACATTTTCTAAACAACATAACCAAAAAGAAAAAAGAAGGTTTCTTTTGGCTCTGTGTTGAAAACAGTGCAATATCAATGTTAAGTGTTTTAGTATCCAAACGATATGTATGGTAAAAACTTAAATATACTTCAAGAAAGTTCAGTTCTGAAACATGTCTTTGCCTCATAAGTTCATGAACTTCCTTTGGTTTTCAGGTGTCTACATTTTCCAAACTTTGCCATTTTATCTGTAAAAAAGAAAACAAAAATGTCAGATTGTTACTACTGTACATGCCCACAATACGAGGAACTGCCCCATCTAAGCTCTTAAATCCATCCATTTTCAAAACTACTTTATCCAAACAGCTTTAGTTACAAGAGAAGCCAGAGCCCATACTCGTAAGCAATGGACGCAAGCAGGATACACCAGGGCCAAATTTACAAAAGCGAGTTAACCTACCAGAACGTCTGTGGGCTGTGGGAGGAAACCGGAGCATCCAGAGGATACCCATGCGAACATGGGGAGAACATACTGTATAACGTCTACACAGCTCCCAAATCTACAAGCACCACAGGAACAGAACCCAGGTCTGTGAGACACCAATGCTAACCACTGCACCATCCCTAGCTCTTAAATGATAATATACAAATGATATTCACAATTACCACAGAAATCACAGAACTACACAAAAGCAGAGGCATAACATCAAAAGCACTTTCAAATGTGATCTGTTTTATTAAAAATAATTTCAGGAGAAAATAGGATAGGCTGCATTACTGCATTATAATGAGTATTTTCCATACTACTGGAATAATATTTCCCTGTTATTTTGTGTATTGTAAAGTAAACAGTGTATGTTAAGCTATTTCATGATTAGGACTCCTACCATTTGTCTTTAGGGCAGTAAGGTCTAGCATACTGGATTGTCAGTGGGCACTTAATTATATCAAAGGTTCCCATGGAGAGTTACTTTAATGAAAAAGATTTGAAACAATCTTCAGGAAAGCCCATGTGCTTGTTTTTTCCAGAACACGAAAAAAAAACTGCAGAAAGGG